CTGGATGGGCTCCATCTTGAAGCTCGATCACCCACCCACCCTTCTGACCCAACAGCTAATTTCTCTTGGGTTGGAAGGATCAGTCTGATTCATAGCACTTTCTGTAAAGCACCATGAGTTAGACCCAAAAGCTGCATTTCTGTCTGCGCTTTTTTTAGTCAGGGCAAAGATTCGTGGTTGTTCTCCCTGGCTTAATCTAGTTCTTGTCCTTCTGGGAAAACAGGATTCACTTTGAAGAGTGGGTCAGGCAGACAGACACAGCAGGTGTGCAATAAGGGTATATACTCAGTGGAATTGCTTGCTTGAGTCAGTACCACAGGCAGGGTTTTTTAGTCGTTCCTCAGAAATGAAATATACCATTGCAGCTTATATAAGGCTATCTCCTCAGAGATCTGCAGGGCCATATGTTTGCATTTTCAAGAGAGCTTAAATTTCACAGTCAAAATATAGTTTTCATCCTTTAAGAGCAGTGCCCGCTCTACCTTGTGAACCTCTGTCTTCTCTCCTTATCTAGCCCTGGTTGCCCCTTTCTTCGCACAGTCTGATCATGGTGTCAGTCTCTCCTTGTATTTCTGGAAAGGTCTATTTGTACATCTGCAGCATGGATTTATCATCTTACTTTAATTAAATCTTTCTCCCTTGCCTTTATAGATCTCTTTATTTTTCTGTCCTTCTATTTAACATGCTGCAGTGTTTTAGGATACAGCTTGTTTGTTAGGGATAATGCAAAATAAAACCGTGTAGCCCATCATGAAAAACATAATACTTGACAAGAATTAGAACAATATCATAACTGAATTGTCACCAGTTGTGCTACTAGCTGATTTAATTTGAAAACTATACTCACCTCCATGCTGCTCTTACAGCATTTAATTGTGCCTGTCAGCCTCACTCCGGGAATTTGGTTGTGCCATAATACAGTGTCATGGCTGAGTCATAGCTGAAGAAATAATTATCCTCTCATACTTTTAAGATAATCGTGGGTGGAGGAGTGGTGGAATACAATCAAGCAAACCAGGGCCAACAGCTTGGAAAGCAGCTGGGAACTTGGGGACCCAAAGTGAGGCTGACTAAAAGTTTGACTTTCAGAAACTGATACACTTCCACTTTCTGAAACGCAAGAAAGTATGTAGGAAAACCCAGGACTGAGGCACCTGGATTTTGTTTTGTTTTGTTTTCTTGGGTGAAGTCTACCTAATATCATGGTGGGGGGAGGATGGGAAGATTTTAAAAAGGAATCTCCAGTCCCTTTCATCCTCGTTGAGAGCACAGGCACACAATGCAATACTCACTGTACCACAAAAACTTTAACACAGAGGATATCCTGGGGACTCTTGCCCATAAGTCTTGGCACTGCTGAGACATCCAACTACTGCTCATTACAGGGAATGGATGTGGAGATTTGGAGCCCTGTCAAAAGGAGAACATTTCAAAAGGGCAGCAGCTGTTAAGTTCCACTTGTTAGATGCAGACAAGTGGGAATGATACAAATGTAGCAAAACCATTTCAACTTTAACTCTGGTTCATTTAGGGTTAAAGTTGCTGCTATTTTGCTAGGTTTGTATCACCCCTGTTACTAGTCTGCAAGTAGCAATTAGAACCTAACACAGTAGTGGGCAATTATTTGGGCCTGAGGACCACATAGGGAGTTTTGGTTAGCTGTTGTAGGCTGGGTCAGCACTCTTCCCACCGCAACAATTCACCAATTCACCAAAACTCCCTATGGTGCTGTGGGTGGGTGCTGAGCCGTGTTCAGGGGTGGGAAGGGTGGGAGACGCTGGGATCACATGCCCCTGCCCTCTGGGATGGGGCATGTGCATGTGTGTGTCTGTGGATGCGGGGGCTGCCTGGGCACTAGGTCCCAGGAACCTGCTGTGGCTATGGGGAGGGGGGGAGAGGAGTGGAGGGTGGGGGCTGGCACATGCTGCAGAGCTCTCCTTGAACAGTGCTGTCCACACTGCCCCTGCGGTGCTCTGCATGGGACTGAGCCCCACTTGCTTGTGCCAGGGCAGCCTGTGCTGCACTACTAGTGATGCCTGCGGCCCAGCCGGGTGCTACTCCATGCCCCCCACCTTCAGTGGCAGTTCCTGCTCCTGATCTTGCCCCTGCAGCACTGTGCTGTGCCATGCAGCTCCTGGGGAGCAGCTTCAGCCAGGACCTTCCCCCAGCATGCTCGGCTCTGCTTGGCACTAGGGACAGGAGCTGCCTGGCTGAAGTTGTGCATCTGCCCGCCTGGAACAGCATGGTGTGGCACAGCAGGGGCAGCTTCCGGCAGGCTGTTCCTGCTGCAACAGCAGCTGGCCAGGTGCTGCTCTGCGCCTCTCGCCTCCAGCAGCAGCTCCTCCTGCTGTGCCACTTCCAGTGGGTACGTAGGGCTCCAGCTCCAGATCCTGGCTGTCTTCCAACGGAAGGTGCCCAGGAGCTGAAGCTGGAGTCCTGTGTCCTGGGAAAGGAGCTGTCTGGCTGAAACTGCTCACCCAGAGTGGTGTAGCATGGCGAGGGCAAGATCAGAAGCAGGAGCCACTGCTGGAGGTGGGAGGCTCAGAACAGCACCTGGCTGCAGCTGCATTGGAAACATCCCTGCCAGAAACTCCATGTTGGCCAGGGCCTGGGCTGGCAGGAGCCTGGTTCAGCCTGCCCCATCATAAGTGGACAGGGCATGGCCCTATGTGGAGTGTTGCGGGGGCAGCCGCAGGCCAGATCCAGTCACCTGGAGAGCCAGATTTGCCCTGTGGGCCATGCTTTACCAGCCCCGACCCAACAGCTGCCATCCTTTTGAAGTGTTGCCCTTTTGCAATGACTCCAAATGTATGCGTCTATACCTACAGGTATAGCTGTTTTTAAAAGATTCTTCTTGCAACTCCAGCCTCTGGTGTCCTTTTAAAAATCTACCTACTTTTGCATATGCATGATCTTTAGTTACATGAACAAATCCTAGTTGTCAAATATAAAGATGACACTTTTCTCCAGTGTTTATAGATCCAAATGTTGGAACATTTTGTGGCTTTATTTGTAAACTAAAACTTCTTTGAAATGGTCTGGATTACTGTCAGCTTCAGATTTTCTCCTTTATTAGTGTTTTACTGGTATGTACATTAATCATTGAAACCCAAATCCTGAAGTATTTAGCTGTATAACTCCTGTTGATTTCAATAATGAGGTACTAAATTAACAACCTACTTCATCTATAAACTGAGGGCATACTTATATTTTACTGCTGTTTTGTATTTGCATTCTTTAGAAGCTTCTGGGTACTATGCACAGCATTAGGTGCTCTACTTGGGCCACAGGCTGTAGCAATTATATGCATGCTGGTTGATTTCTCAAATACTTGATTGCTGAGATTGTATCTTCATGTATTGCACATAAGAAGGCGGGTCAATGTTCAGGTTGCATGTGCAGCTGTGACTTTGTCACTTTGTGGTCTGACTAAATCGCTAACTCTTGTGACTTACTTTTCTCAACAATTCGGAATGAAATGTCAAGTGTCAGGAGACATGTTTAATGACTGGGACATATCATACATACGGCATATCTTCCACAGATTTACTGGCCAGGTGAGTTGGTGCCTAGCACCAGATACTTCAGAAGAAGGTGAAAGAAAATCTTTGATAGACAGTATGGCCTATAAGCAGAGACCAACCTAATTTGCAGGGGCTGCCCGCAGATTTCACAGCAGAATGCAGACCCAAGCACCCTTTTTGCAGGTGGAGCAGAACAGGGCGTCTAGCTGAGGGGCCCTGGTGGCTCTGCCCCACACTGCTGATTGGCTGTGGGGTGCTACCTGTCGTGTGGCCCTGCCCCTAGCTGCTGATTAGCTGAGGATTGTCAATCATGCAGTCCCACCTCTCACCAGCTGGTTATGGGGCGGGGCCACATGACAGGCAGCCTTCACAGTCAATCAGTTTGTGCATGTGGGGGGGGGGTGGCAGCCATCTAGCTGACAGCCTTTTAAATGGGCAGCCGCCCCCCCCAACCTTTGAACAGGCTGCCACAGTGTGCTAGAGACTGCTGGTTCCCTCTGGGAGCCAGAGTTTTATCTTCAGTATGTTTTTTTGGGGGGTGGGGAAGGTTCAACACATTTCATGAGCATTGCCCGAATTTCGCGGAAATTGTGAATTCAGTAGGTCCCTACCTATAGGGGATGCTTTTCCCAAACACCCAAGGCTTTGTAGCTGGTTTGTGGTCTGATGCACAGGTTTTTATTATCTTTCTCTTGAATTTCTTAGTTATCTCTTGCAGATGTTTTCATGTAAATGTCCATTTTTAAAATCCTTTTTGGTTCAATGAAATCTAGTGACAGTTTGGTCCACGTCTGAGTATTGTTATATGAAGTGTTACCGTTCAACATGAGTTGGGAGGGATTTTACTTCAACATTTAGAGGAATTTCTGCAGTATTTTTACGGACTCTTTACTGTGGGCAATTCTATCCTTACAGAAAGCCAGCAAGGGTAACATTATAATAAATGATTTCACACTGATAACAATGGTATTTTCACTTAATCATCTGTACATATTACATGCAGCTTTTAGTCCTGAAGAAAAATGTAAGATGAAGGTTACGAGGAATATAGAAAAGCAGGATTTATGTCTGCAGACTTGATCTGAATGGAACTACAAACTTTCTTGTTTGTTTTAGTTTATGCACCAGAAGTTGTAGACAGTAGGTCTAACTGGAGTCTGTTATTGTATGTAGGTTATACTTTTGTACAGACATTATTTATACTAGAGTATAAAATGTCTAGCAGGTAACACTTGGACATTTTTCTTGAAGGTACTCTGGTGAATGAGTGAGCTGCAACACTGCAGCAATTGGTTTTGTACTAGTATAGTCATAAATGCCATATCCGCTAAACAGAAGTAAGAGAGACTGCACAGACTGACCAAAAATGGGTCTGTCTATATGATAAGGGGTTGAAACTCTTGCTGTGAGTTGGGCAAAACTAGGTCAATAGGCTACCTTCTATTGTTTTATGCTTTCCTGACCTGTTCTTTCCAGGTCATATCTGACTCCTGTGCGGGATGAGGAAGCTGAGTCTCTAAGGAAGGCACGATCCAGGCAAGCCCGACAGACGCGCAGGTCTACACAGGTGAGGAATGATTTTCCTGCTGACCTTGCATCCAGGTCGCAGGCAAGAGAGCCCCCTTCCTTTTACGATACCTTGGTGCTGTGCTATCCTCACATATTTACAACTTGTATCTACGGAAAAGGGAGATGATGTGGTTAGTGGCTCCAAAAGACATGAAGTTAGACCCATAGACGTAGGCTCTAAGAAATCTTTAAACTCGAATAGCATTTTTCTTTGTTTGTTTGATTGTTTTCTGCCTTTCCCGAAAAAGGCTCAGGGCTCTGTTTCCCTTTGTTCACTGTTTACATCAAGAGATTGAGCATATTTTAAGAAACATTCTCTTAGACTTGGGGTCCGCCTTGCCTGTAGACTCCTTATTTTGCTTTTAACCCAGTTTGTGCAACTAATTCTTCCCATGGTCTTTCCTGGCCATTCTGTCTTGGTACTGTTCTATCAAATGTGAATATGAAGGTGGAGGCAGGTAAAGGCTTGTGGAAGAGGTATGGGGAGGAGCTGAAGGGGACTTCAAAATGCAAGCCCAACATCTCTGGTCAAGCATAGGGGATCAGAGGCTCCCAGCCAGAGGTGCTAACGAGTTTCCCCACTGAGGCTCTAAAACTTTGTACCTGGCTGGGCTGCTGGGCATGGTGGATGAGAGGCAATGGAAGCCAGAGCTATAGGCAGTGTTTAAAGTCCCCAGTGGAGGAAGCCCATCAGCATCCTCTGCTGGGAGCCTCTGATTCCCCCTGCATCCTGCAGCCTAGCCAGAGCTGGGTTTCCACAATCCAGCAGGGTTTGTATGATCAGATGATTGTCTACCTAGAAGTCAGACCTAGGACTGTCTGATGTTGGAGCCAAGAATCAGCTGACCATCAGTTCCACCTACACTGTGACACCAGCCTTAAACTTTCCAGTGCAAGAAGAGCCAGGGATGATAGTACTGGTGCAGTTGGGCTCTAATCCCTGATCCCAAAATCATGCCGTCTGACACACACGTGGCATAGCAGGAGGCATGATTATCTGGATTTGGGATCAGATCCAATTATGCCATTAAATGAATGTGTGCCAAGGGCCTTAGTGATACTCATGTGATACACAAAGCTCAATTAATCTACTGAAATACACTAACATCTGAAATGAAGCATGACATTTGACAGCCAGCAGCACTACAAAGATCTTAACAGGAAACAAAAAAATAGATATATTTTAAATTTAGGAGGAATTGAGATGACAGGCTGAAGACTTGACTAGCTAGCTTTGGCTAGGACAGATATTGTTTCCCCCTCTTGCTCCTTGAAGGGGTCAGCAACTCTCTAAAGACCCTAATAGTTTTTAAAATACTGCATTTTACTCAGGGGGAGCACAACTTAGTTGTCAAAACGTACTGCAAGTAGACATCTGGTAGACATGCACGCACGTGAGTGCATGTATGCACGTGCACGTTAACTTAATTCATTATTTTTAAATGATTCTGTCTAACAGACAGTAAATTCAATATGTGCCTTGCTTGTTTAATTTGAAAAGAAAAAGAAGCAAAACTGTTTCACTATTTTAAATTGATTACTTTTGGTTATTCTTATAATTGAGAAGTGTAAACTTATCACCTTGTGATGGATTTGCACCATCCTAATGGGCAATCAAAACTTCAAAATAATGCGCGTGCACAGTTAGTAGAACAAGTGCTAGTACTTGCCCTATAAGTCCCCACATTAAGAGCTTTTGACTTGGGTGTTACCAGGTTCAAACTGTCCAAATATGTACGTGCAATTTGTTAGTTATTGGGGAAAATGTAATAGACAAATGGAATTGCAGATGGTTTTTCTGTGCGGAAATCAGACTCAGCAGTTTCACAGAGTAGGCTGAATCAATTTTATTTCCTTGAGTACAGTCCAGGAGCCTATCCAGTGCTCTGGATGCCTATCTTGTAAATTAATAATCTCAGCATGCACATAACCCAAGGACTGTTCCTACATGATATTTATCCACTTCAACCCATATTCTCTTCAATCTTAATAAAGAGAGAAAAGATGAGCTTTGCAGCATGTCTGCAAGACTAACGAATCTGACTGTTAAAGACCACCGCAGCCATTTTGCTTTGTATTCCAGCCTGCAGTCAGGCAGCTGTGCCACCTTCCACAATACAATGAACTTCATTTCCATCATGCATACAGGTTAAAAACTAAACATGAAACATTTGTTCCCATGCCCAAAAATGACCCTTAGATTGAGGAGAGGAAGAGGCTTTCCAGCAATCTGTCTGTGTTCTAGGTTTCCTCCCAAGTAGATAGCTCTTTAATGCCCTTCTTGAGAAGTCTATAAATTAAGTAGGGGCTTCAGTCTGTCTGACAAACGTGTGAATTATAACCAGAGTTTCACCATAGTGGTTTAGCACTTTGTATTTATAGGGGTGTTGTTTACCTGTCTGAATTTAGTAACTTCCTACAGTGAAGCCTGTAGCAAATGACTGAAATTGTCAATTCAACTGACATATATCAAACAAATGCTAGTGAAAGTATGTTAAGATGAATAGAGCAAAATATCAAATTAGCAATAAACTGGAGACTGAATAGAGGAAAAGCATATCTGGATGGTGCTATAGTAGACATATGATTGGCATGTCTGGTGAGCTCTCGAAAGTATTCTTGGTAATCAACTAATTCCAAAATACCATCTCCAGATGTGTACAATTTCCAGTTGTAAGTCTCGCTTCTGGTAGTATAACCAGCTTGTTGGCTTCATTGTTGTGGATCTCAATTTTGGGTCATCTTGAGTTGCTAAGGATTATACATATTGACTGAGATTATTATTATTTTTTTAATGGTAGATTTATCCTAATCTGTTGATCTAGATGAAAGTAGGACCTAGAGATATCAGCACCTATTGTGCTGAACATTATAAACATGGTACCTGCCCAGAAGAATTTGCAGTTAATTAAAGAAGGAATGCACCTCTTGTCTTTAGAAAACACTTAGTTGTAAATGTTCATTTGTTGATGTTGTTTTACTCCTTCCCCAGGGTGTGACGCTCACAGATCTTCAGGAGGCAGAAAGAACCTTCAGCCGATCTCGAGCAGAGCGGCAAGCTCAAGAACAGCAGAGTGAGAAATCTGAAAGCACTGAAACAACTGAGGACGGAAGTGAGAGACAAGTGGAGGCCCGGCCCCGGTGGAGCAAAAACCTAGATGAGGAGGTGGTCTTTCTATGCTTCCTAGCTGACTCTTTTAATAGTTTGGACCAGCTGAAAGCAAGTGAATTCTGTTGATTGACTAAGAATAGTCTCTGGGAGTAGTAGGACAGACAGAATTGGCTATTATCTGATTAATCTTGATACTTAGGTGCTTGAAAGTTGTATGATACATAGTTGGTTTGTTTGTTTCTTGCATCATAAATTACTTACTGCCTTGTTTTCAGTTTAAAATTTCATTTTTCATCTCGTAAAATAAAAAAAAATTATGAGAACTGCAAGATCATTGAATGCAGAGTCTAGTAAAAGGAGAATGATGCCACAGCTCCATTCTCTCTTTAAGGATCTCGTTGAGGCTGGGTCTTGATGCTTCTCCATAGATCTTCTGAGTAACTGGTGAAGAGCAGACACAGATGAAGGAAGGACTCCTCAAAGGAGTGTTATCTTCCACAAATATTATATTTGGGTGAACTCTAACCCAGGCCAACTTTCACTTCTTCTAGAGAATGCTTATTTGCAAATGAGCAACCATCCAAAGTTAGCTCAGTGGTAATAGGAAGTAGTGTAAGCAAGGAAGTCACAGTATTCCTTGCTATTGAATTCTGATGGAAAAGGTTAAATTGAAAATACCAAGACTTCAGTATGCCATGTTTAATATTATTACTGGTCTGTGCCCTTGTTTTACATTGCCAAATGATTGTTAATGCAGCAAGCACGAGAAGCCTGAAGTCAGCAGCTTCTTTAATATATATTATGTATATAGCAAGCCACCTGAATTTAAACAAAATTGATATTGAACATTTTGATTGGCTCGAGCAGAACATGAAATATGCACGCTTCCTTTTGGCAGCCCTGTACCCAATCCCGGGATAATGCCTGGGGTAATGTTGTTTTAAATTTCTCCAGAAGTAACTTTCCAGCCCTGGCATAAAATCATGCTATTCTAGTGGATCTTAACATGTAGTGGTCCTGGCTCCTTCATCCTTTTTTGACTGAACAACTTCCTTTCACTATGCATCTTTCTAGTCTCATTTACATTGATGGTATTGGCTTGCAAGCTGGCTCTCAAAGATGCCTGTACAAAGGGATGAACAAACAATTCCTCTCGTCCCGAGCCTCTTCTCTTGTTTGTGTCCACCCTCAGATGTAAACAGCATTAAATCCATTTCCTAATCTATCCTCTCTGGCAGGTTATGGTTTAAAATATGCAGCAGCAATGAAGAGAACTAAATTTCAGATATCTTTGTTGCCCATTTAGAAGATACAGGCTTTAACTGGTTTGTTTCCCTTCTGCTAATCTTTTTATTTATGGCTGTTTGTTTGCAGCCTGTCTATCGACGATTAAGGTGTCCCATACAACCAGACAAACCCCCAGCACCAGTATCTCCCTCTACAACTGCCCCTCTTCTTTATACAAGTTCTTACCTGGCTCGGACAAATAGATCTCTAGGCCCTGACTCTGAGAACCCAGCAGACTTCCACAACACAGCCACGGAGATGGAAAAAAATGGTATGTACCTTTCAGAATGAAGACAACTCAGATGTTTTAGACCAGGGTCAAGAGGCTCAATGTATATCTAGAAGGCACTAGGTTTTCAGTTGTGCACTGTTCTAGCTGGTCCTGGGGGGGTGGCCCTACAGGGAACCTGTGAACTAATCAAGTTAATGTATATATGTAGATGTAATGCCTAACACAGGATGTCTAGGTCACTTACAGAGCAATCCAGTTCTGACATGTAAAGATGGAGATTAGCGGAGAGGTGGCTAAAGCAGTGGTAGAATTTCAAGTAATGTAACTCCTTTTAGCCAATGTCCTCGCATGGTGTTGAGGGAGCTGTGCTGCTGGAGGTGCAGTCTTTAGGATCTATCCAGTGAAAGGAATATAAAGTTATCAGGCATCTTTTAGGTAACTGCAGCCAATTTGAAAATGTCACTAGGATTTTGATTACAAACAGAATTGTGAATCATCTTAAACCAAGGCAGTCTCTTTGCTTATCTAGAGTGTGAAGATCAAGATTTAGATGACAGATCTCCAAACAAGCAGTCAATTCGAGAGAGGCGGCGGCCAAAGGAGAGGCGAAGAGGCACTGGCATCATTTTCTGGACAAAAGATGTGAGTGAGAGCAAAAGGCAAACTGGGTCTTCAGTATTCAAAGTTGAATATCTTTCTGATTTTTAAAGTCAAAATCCATTTGGGCCTCAGTTCCATTCTGTTAGATTAGTACATTGAATTGAAGGTCCCTGGATAAAAGCACCCTTTTTACTTTATGCCAAGGGTGATACGTGTTGAATACGTTGAAGGAAACTTTTATTTTTGAGCTTTCTGCTTGCACAGGGAGTTGACTTTCATCACTGATTCTTAGGATATGTCTTCATTGCCTCCTGAGTGAAGCTGGGCACCACAAGAATAAACCACACCTGCTCTGATCCTGCTTGAGTTGGCAAATTTGTGGAGTAGACAGCATGGCCGGGGCCTGAGCATGTGTCTTGGCGCCATACTGCGCTCTCTGAATGAAGAGAGCCTGAGCACAGAGAGGGCATATATTCAGTGCCATGCCAAATTGCCCATTCTGTAAAATTGCCAGCCCAGGCATGCACAATGCATAAGACTAATTTCTTGGTAGTGTGCCTAATTTTATTTAGGATGTGATGAGCTTCACATAAGAAGAGAGCTAATGTCCAGCATGCTGCAGTACTGGCCTAGCAGTGAGATAGGTTCCTTTACTTTAGTAATATGATTTGTAGAATTTTAGATCTTAAACCAATATTCTTCATGCTAAAGTCTGCAGAGCCATTATAATGTTTACTTCAGCCTGCTTGCATTGTGGGGACAGAAACAGGCCTTGCAATTGGGAAATGCTGTCCTTGGGAAGTACCTTCCCAGCAGCTGGCAGTTCTCCAAGTCTTCCCTTCTCCCAAGTTTTCCTTCATGAAGGAAAGCAGGCAGGGACTCCAGATATTATTTCAGGTCACTTTCTGCATCATTACACTGTATATGACATGCCAGAGGTTACCCCAGCCAAGTAGAAGATGGCCTCAAGGACTCAGGCATCGACACCAGCATCTGTGCCTCATGCTGCAGAATTGAGCTGTCTCCTCTTCCTCCAGTTTCCTGCAGGCTGTAACTGCAGCAAGTGCTGTGCACAGCATAGGCACTTCTAATATCAGAATGAAGTAAAAAATCCTTTGGGTTCAGTTCCTTGCCCTCACTGCCGTCTCCCTCATTAATTCCTACTCATGTTCATGAGTGAGCTCTGTAGAGGAAGCACAGTTCAGCTGAATCCCTTGTAAGAGAGAAGCTCCCCAGAACCACTGTCCTTTGAGAGATTGGGCTCATGCTGGGGAGAGGAAATAGTTTCTTTGAGAGCAGGGAGATCACTAGTCAGCAGGA